AGCATACTTCCAAAGTTGTGGCAAAATGGCTTAAGGACAACAAAGTCAAGGTATTGGAGTGGCCATCACAAAGCCCTGACCTCAATCCTATAGAAAATGTGTGGGCAGAACTGAAAAAAGTTGTGCGAGCAAGGAGGCCTACAAACCTGACTCAGTTACACCAGCTCTGTCAGGAGGAATGGGCCAAAATTCACCCAACTTATTGTGGGAAGCTTGTGGAAGGCTACCCGAAACGTTTGACCCAAGTTAAACAATTTAAAGGCAATGCTACCAAATACTAATTGAGTGTATGTAAACTTCTGACCCACTGGGAATGTGATGAAAGAAATAAAAGCTGAAATAAATAATTCTCTCTACTATTATTCTGACATTTCACATTCTTAAAATAAAGTGGTGATCCTAACTGACCTAAGACAGGGAATGTTTACTAGGATTAAATGTCAGAAATTGTGAAAACTGAGTTTAAATGTATTTGGCTAAGGTGTATGTAAACTTCCGACTTCAACTGTATATCTTAATTTATGACCCCCAACCCATAACTGTTCTTTGTGCTCTTTATCTTCTATTTGTTGCTTTCCCCCCACAGATGCTGTCATGAATCACTTCCCGGGTGCAACAAAGGGACAAGTGGGAACAGTTTACAACAGTAAAATGGCTGAATTGAGAAGCGATGATGGAAAAAAATTATGAATAGGATTAAATTCAGTTTTTAGTGTTTTGTGTTGTTTGTTCTAATGTTTTATTACCATGACTACAAGTATCACTGAAATAATGCTGCCGTAACATATATGTTAACACATATTGTTAACATGTATTGTGACATATAAGGGACATGTACAGTATCTTCAGAAAGTATTCACACCCCTTTACTTTTTCCACATTTTATTGTGTTACAAAGTGGGATTTAACTGTCATTTTTGTCAACGATCTACAACATTTGTAAAAAAAAAAAAAAAAAAAACATGAAAAAAGTCCCACTAATATATATTGATTAGAAAGTATAGACATGTTTCGCCTGCTTCGAGGAAAACAACACTGAGCCGACGACATGTGCACCCGCTGCTCACGAAGACTGCGGGCTCCCGATCTCTGTAGTCAACGTGAGTAGGACCTTCAAGCGTGTTAACCCTCACAAAGCTACCAGCCCAGACGGCATCCCAAGCCGCATTCTCTGAACATGCGCAGACCAGCTAGCTGGAGTGTTTACGAACATTTTCAACCTGTCACTATCCCAATCTGTCATCCCAACTTGCTTCAAGATGGCCAAGAGAAATACCTATGTGAGAATGGTGTTCATCAACTATTGCTCAGCTTTTAACACCAACTTGTCACCAAGGTCAGGGCCTTGGGTCTAATTTCCTCCCTGTGCGACTGGACTGTCCGACCACTGGTGGTGAGGGTAGGCAACAACACCTCTGCCACGCCGTGCACATCACTGAGGACCTGAAATGGTCTCAGCACACCAACACCGTGGTGAAGAAGGCACAACAGCGCCTCTACAACCTCAGGCGGCTGAACAAATGCGTCATGGCCCATACGACCCTCACAAACTTCTACAGATGCACCATTGAGAGCATTCTGTTGGGCTGCATCACTGCCTGGTCTGGCAACTGCACCACCCTCAACCGCATAGCTCTCCAGATGGTGTTGCATTCAGCACAACGCATCATCAGTGGCATGCTGCCTGCACTCCAGGACATTTACAGCACTCGGTGTCAAAGGAAGGCCAAGAAGATTATTAAGGACCTCAGTCACCTGAGCCATGGACTGTTTACTTGACGGAATCAGTACAGGTGCATCAGTGCCAAGATCGAGAGACAAAAAAACTGCTTCTATTACCAGGCCATCGGACTGTTGAACAGCCATCACTATCAGGTGATGCACACTCACTCACACAAAACACACACACACAAGCTATCACTCACACACCTCATACTCACAAACACGCACACACACATAGCCGACGCTGCTGTCCCATGTCATAGAGACATTGAACCACTGGACACATATACAGTATTTAAATACTGTATATCCCCGGCATAGGTCATTCTAATATTTCTACTACTGTACTTTGTATTTGGTTACACTGTTTATACACACCGCATATTTATTTATATACTGGATTCTTGACATATGTCACTATATATCTACTGCTGTACATATCATTCTTAGTATATCTTGTGTCCATTTTTCCGGTGTACATACCTGGTTTTAATGTCTATGGTACGTACGTATAGATTGCATTTTGATTACTGTTACAGTGCTATTTGGGTTGTTAATTGGATTCTTCCCAACGTTCTTGATTTCTTGTTTTTTTTGCTGTACTTTTTTACAAATATTTTTAATTATTTGGGTACTTGTTTGACATTTACCTGCATTGTTAGGAACTATTAACATAAGCATTTCGCTTCACCCGCTATAACATCTGCTAAACTGTGTATGTACGCGACCAATAAACTTTGATTTGATTTGTACCGGTACATTCCTTTAAAAGGAAGGGGTGGAAAGTCCCTCCAGCCGCTTTCACCAATCCAATACTTTTAAATGCATGAGGAGAAGTGAATAAGTGCACACTTCTGGGTGAAGGGTAGAAAATGGGAACACAACCTAGGGGAACTAGTCATCACCCTGGGGGTGAGTCCCTCTCTCTCCCATGACCTCCATGACAAAGTTCAACGCCTGTTTTCTGAGAGTAACTGCACTTGCAAGTATAGCTGCTGGACAGTGTTAAGAATTCAGTCCAATCAAAGTTTTAGAGAGGAGAAAAACACGTGGACACATCCTGCTCCTCTGAGGTTGTTTACATCTCTGCAGAAGAGACACCCTATGTGAGTGGAGTCCCCACTTCCGTTTTTCAGGGGGAACGGAAGTTAGGTTCCAAATACAGTATCCCTGAAAATACTGTATCCCTGAAAACTGGCAACATCCGCTTTCTGCCAACACCGCTAAGGGTGATGACACAGTAACTCTATTAACAAGGGTCTTGGTGTCACGATCGTCAGGGTAAGGAGTAGACCAAGGCGCAGCGTTGCAGGCAAACATACTCATTTATTAGCGAAACGTGATCAAAACAACAAAAGACGGTAACGTGACAGTACACGGTCTAACACAACAGACTAGAAACAAGATCCCACCAAGACTGGACCAAGCAGCAAGTCCAGGAGCCAGCGCCTGAGAGATCTCTAGCGGATCTCCTTCGCCTCCTCGACTGGGTCAAGCCATGTGAGGAAGAGAGGGGCTTGACGTGGAGGCAGAAGGGCGAAAGGCTGGCGAGAAGCATGGAGACCTGGTCCACGGGTAGGAGTGAAGCCCATACATTTTTTAGGGGGGGGCTAACGCCGTGGACGACGGGGCAGCAGGAGGCCGCCAGGTTACGGGAGTCACTGGTCACCAGGGGGAAGGAGGATGTAGAGGCACGGCGAGAAGTACTGGCGTGTGTTGCCAGTCCGGTCCGGCCTGTTCCTGATCCCCACGTAGGGCCAGTGGTGTGTGTTCCCAGTACGGTCCGGCCTGTTCCTGCCACTCGCACCAAGTCTACGGTGCGCGTCGCCAGCTCGGACCGGCCTGTTCCTGCTCCCCGCACCAAGTCTGTGGTGCGCGTCGCCAGCCCAGTCCGGCCCATTCCTGCTCCCCGCACCAAGTCAGTGGTGCGTTTCGTCAGCCCTGTCCGGCCCATTCCTGCTCCCCGCACCAAGTCAGTGGTGCGCTTCGTCAGCCCGGCACGGCCCGTTCCTGCTCCCCGCACCAAGTCAGTGGTGCGCTTCGTCAGCCCGGTCCGGCCCGCTCCTGCTTCCCGCACCAAGTCAGTGGTGTGTTTCGTCAGCCCGGCTCGGCCCGCTCCTGCTCCCCACACCAAGCCAGTGGTGTGCGTCGTCAGTCCGGCACGGCCCGTGCCTGTTCCACCGGTGGCTGGTCCGGCACCGGTCAGATGCTTCACGCCGGAGCTAGAGCAATCCGCTCCACCAGTGTGCAGTCCAGCTCCGGCCAGCGGGGCCAGACCGGACCAGGGGTACTTTGGGGGGTTGGAGAGGGAGCGGGGATCAGGCCCGGAGCCGGATCCGCCGCCTAAGCGGAGTGCCCACCCGGTCCCTCCCCTGTGGTATTTGGTGGGCGCGGTCGGAGTCCGCGCCTTTAGGGGGGGTACTGTCACGCCCTGGCTCTGGGGACTCTAATATGTTGAGCCAGGGTGTGTAAAGTCTGTGTTTTGTTCTAGGTTTCACTTTCTAGTATTGTTGTTCTATGTTGGCCAGTGTGGTTCTCAATCAGAGGCAACGTGATTCAGCTGTTGCTTGTTGTCTCTGATTGAGAACCATACTTTAGCAGCCTGTTTCCCCACAGAGTTTGTGGGATCTTGTTTCTAGTCGGTATTGTTAACCGTGGACTTCACGAGTCGTGTTTTGTTAGTACTTTAATTAAATAAAGTCATGTTTGTTTCACACGCTGCGCCTTGGTCTACTCACTCTTACGACGATCGTGACACTTGGTTAGAGGCCCAGTGCAGACAAAAACTAGATGTTCTGTGTTTTATATATACACTGCTCAAAAGAATAAAGGGAACACTTAAACAACACATCCTAGATCTGAATGAATGAAATAATCTTATTAAATACTTTTTTCTTTGCATAGTTGAATGTGCTGACAACAAAATCACACAAAAATGATCAATGGAAATCAAATGTATCAACCCATGGAGGTCTGGATTTGGAGTCACCCTCAAAATTAAAGTGGAAAACCACACTACAGGCTGATCCAACTTTGGGTGACCTGGGCGCATTGGGCGACTGTGGCGGGCAGGTGAATTATGTTTTTTCTGCAAGGCGCTTCACGGAGGTGTGAATACATAATATAATAAAAATATAATATGCCATTTAGCAGACGCTTTTATCCAAAGCGACTTACAGTCATGTGTGCATAAATTTTTACGTATGGGTGGTCCCGGGGAGTACATGGGTGTTTGTAATGTCTCCTTGGTAGTGGAATGTCCTTTGTGATGATTTGACTGGCAACGTGGGTGCTTTGCCTTTGCGACTACTGTAAACCACTTTAGAGAATCTCCGAATCTTATGGAACAAAGTCCTTCTCAGGAGGATGTAGATCCAAGGGTCAAGGATGGCGTTGACTGAGGCAATCCGAATAGCGATCAAATCTGCATGGGAACTCTCTGTCCATGTTATCTGGTTAGCCAATACACGTACCTACAGCAGAATAACAAGAGATGTTAGGCCTACTGCTTCCCTCTTAGATAAACTATACGAAAACATAATATTAAGACAAAATGTTTCTTACCACCAGCGGCGCTGAGCAACCTAAAACAACCACGGAGGTCACCATGAGCACCGTCATCATTTGCGCTTCCACACCGGAGGAAAGCACTTTCCAGCGCGCCCGTGTGCTCACTCTTGTAACTGGACTTAGGATTTTCCTGCGACGCATTATCAACAGAGTCCCACAAACTGCAAAGTTGAGTACCATCGTCATCAATATCAGTAAAAAACTCACACTCGCATATAAAAACGAATAGGTTGCAGGCAGTGGCTCATGAGCCCTCCAGTTGATGAAGCACCAGGTTTTGGAGGGCTGACAAATGCTTCCAGCCATGCCCATCACTGGGAGACAACAAAATACAATGTTGCTGAGATAAATGCAAAACAAGCACTTGCGTGCAAAATGTTGGTCAATTCCCCATCTTTGGTAAGTGTAAGGGCAGCATATCGCGAGGTAGCGCTCAGCAGACATTGTGCATATAATACTTAGCCCAGCCACTCCGAAGAACAGCAACAAAAATGAATGGAATTCACAAAGGTTATGGTCATATAACACATTTTCATCGAGGTAAGTGGCTATAGTGATTGGGCTGGCCAAACAAGTCCCAAGCAGATCTGTAACAGCCAAACTACAAACTAGGGCGAAGAACGCGGACGATTTGCGCTCCTGCTTAGATCCAGAAAGAGCGGCTATTGCTATTATATTTCCAACGACACCAACTGCAAACATTAATACAGGTACAGCCAACGCTTCAGCTGTCTTGTCAGGCAACGTGTGTGTAGAGGAATTACGTGTATCGTTCATGTTTCCAATCCAAAAGTAGGCTATCCAATGCACGCTATTTGTTCCTTTTTAGATAGCCGTTCTTTAGGCTACTTTATAAGTCCATTCAAATCCAAGCAGATATTGCGAAAGATGTTCCTCTTGTAAATTCCATGTTTCATGTTTGCTGTTGTTCAATAGCCTAAATTGTCCTCAACCTCGCCAAATGTCCAGTGGATGGAAAAACCTGAAAATGCTCTTGACTCACAGCAAGCTGGTCATATACCCAGCAGGACGTCTGTATTGATGTTAACGTCTCATCAGCAAAACCCAGATTGTAGATGGATGGTAAGAAAGAACACTGCATCCTTTTTATGGCCCATCATCACTAACAGTTGTCACTTGTCATCACCAGACTCGCCCAAAACGTGCGTAATCTCCGGTGCCCTTCTGGGTCAGTATTAATGAAGTTCTCGAGAAAAACCTTTAGGCTTACCCCCAACCAGCATCATGAGCTTGTTGAAATGTTTTACCAAAATTATGTGATTTAATTGTGATTTAATTTAGCTCATAAATAATTTATTGAAAGGATTTGTTCTCTTGGTTTTAACCATTCAAATGTCACAACTTCCAAATTGTGTAAATAGCTTGAAGTTAAATGAATAACTAACTATCCAATACAATAAAAAACGAATGAGTCTTATACAGTCAAGTCAGTGGTAAGACTCATCACTTAGCTTTGTCATGGTAGCTGCCCAGTAACATGAACACAGTTTATACAAAGTCTGAGTCTCAGCTGTGCACCTCAACCAAAGATGACTGTAAATGGTAGTGAAGTGACATCTATGATGGAAGGAGAGAACGTGCACTTATTGGATGACAAATTATGTTTATAGATGGGGCCCCATGACCAAGGGTGAATGTCTCAAACACTTCTTAAAAGACAGAACACAACACCTCTGAGAGGGATGACTTCACTGGCACACAACTGGCTTTGTTTTTAAAAAAAGCCCTCTCTTATATACAGTTTATATCAGCAATACACGAAGTTGGCAAGCCTTAGCACTCAAGTAGGCCTTTTGTAAACTGTTCACTCAAGTATTCGAAAGCTGCGTCCCACACTGTGGGTCAAATCGTGTGGCTCCTAAACACCTGATCTATGCACCCAGTGGAATTCATAAACAGCCCAAACATTTTCAAATTCACCTCAGAACAACACTTTCTCCTTTAACTGGAAAAAAAAAGACTTGTATGATGGAAACATTATGATTTTCTGTCTTTGGATTAATGTGTCCACTGTGACTCTCATTAAAATATGATTTTCTCCTAAAATACCCAGCTAGCACATAACGTTCTGAGAACCATATGTTTCTTAGAGCTTGGTGAGAGCGTAGTTGTCCTATGGTTATTTTGCATACAACCTTCCCACAACTTTCTGGGAATGGTGCAGGTTAATTGCTTGGCTTTGGAACAAACATTCTCAACACATTTAAGGAACTTGACAAAAAAAAATTATTTTCTTGGTATCAAATCAAATCCAATTTTATTTGTCACATGCGCCCGATACAACAGGTGTAGGTAGACCTTGCCATGAAATGCTTACTTATAAGCCCTTAACCAACAATGCTGAGTTTTTTTTTAAAGTAAGAAAATATTAGCAAAAATTACTTTAATTTTTTTATAACACAATAAAATAACAATAATGAGGCTATACCGGTAATTGAGGTAATATGAATATGTAGGTAGGGGTAAAGTGACTATGCATAGATAATAAACAGTGAGTAGCAGCAGCGTAAAAAAGGGGGTCAATGCAAATAGTCCAGGTAGCCATTTGATTAACTGTTTAACAGGGGGTAGAAGCAGTTAAGGAGCCTTTTGTACCTGGACTTGGTACTTCATTACTTTAACAGAGCATTTCCTAAAAGTTCAAACATGGTTACATTTAATTTCCATTTTGGTAATGTTCTATGAACGTTCTCCAACTGGTTTGACTTTGGGAATGTTCTCAGATAATTCAGAGAATTTTAGTTAATAATGTATTTCAGTCCTTCAGCATAACGTTTCCTACAGGTTTCCTAATGGTTCATTTAAAGTCATGTTCTCAAATAGTTCAGAGAACAATATGAAAATTTTCCTTAAAAACCACAAGAAAACTTTAGTAACATTCTAAAAATGTTATAAAAAAACATACGTTCTGTTTTCAGGACTTTAAAGGCCCAGTGCAGTCAAAAACGTGATTTTCCTGTATTTTATATATATATTGACACACTATGAGGTTGGAATAATTGTCACGCTCTGGCTCCGGGACTCTGTATGTTGAGCCAGGGTGTGTTCATTCATTGGGTGTATTTCTATGTTGGTATTTCTGTTGGGTTCATTTCTATGTTTGAATGAATGACTCCCAATCAGAGGCAACGAGTGTCAGCTGTGTGCTGGTTGTCTCTGATTGGGAGCCATATTTAACTGTCTGTGTTTCACTTTGTGTTTGTGGGTTTTTGTTCCTTTACGGTCATTGTTACTGTGGACTTCACGATTCGTCTTTTGTTTTGGTTTTTGTGCGTTTCTACAATAAAGTCAATCATGTTCGCTCAACACGCTGCGTATTGGTCTACTCCTTACCCAGACGATCGTGACAATAATACTGTGAAATTGTGAAAATTATGATAATGGACTTTTAGTGTGAGAGCTGTTTGAAAAGACCGCCTGAAATTTCTGCCTGTTTTGGTGGGAAGGAGTTTGGCCTTCCATGGTGACATCACAATGCAGTAAATTAGTTAATAGACCAATAAGAAATAGTTCCAAACCTCTCTGCCAATAACAGCTAATTTTCAGTTTTCCCCTCCCCACTCAAACGACAGTCCTAGCTAAATTCTTGCTTGAGAAATTGATCTTTGCTAAGAAGCTATTTTTGTTTATTTTTGTTTGAAAACAATCACAGTAAGGTACTTAATTGTTACCCAGAAATGATTTGATATTAAGAGAAAAATGCTACATTGGACCTTTAAGAAAGGTATACATAAAAAACACAAGAAAACTTTAGTAACATTCAGAGACCATTTTAAGAATGTTATAAAAATATATATACAGTGCCTTCAGAAAGTATTCACACCCCTTGACTTTTTCCACATAATGTTGTGTTACAGCCTATATTTAAAATTGATTAAATTGAGATTGTGTGTCATGTCTAGAGTCAATAAGTATTCAACCCCTTTGTAATGGCAAGCCTAATTAAGTTCAGCAGTAAAAATGTGCTTAAAAAGTCACATAATAAGTTGCATGGACTCACTCTGTGTGCAATAATAGTGTTTAACATGATTTTTTTGAATGACTACCTCATCTCTGTACCCCACACATACAATTACTATATCTTTAAGGTCCCTCAGTCGAGCAGTGAATTTCAAACACAGATTCAACCACAAAGACCAGGGAGGTTTTCCAATGCTTCGCAAAGAAGTGCCCCTATTGGTAGATGGGTAAAAATATAAAAAGCAGACACTGAGTATCCCCTTGAGCATGGTGAAGTTATTAATTACACTTTGGATGGTGTATAAAAACACCCAGTCACTACAAAGATACAGGCGTCCTTCCTAACTCAATTGCCGGAGAGGAAGGAAACCCCTCAGGTATTTCACCATGAGGCCAATGGTGACTTTAAAACAGTTGCACAGTTTAATGGCTGTGATAGGAGAAAACTGAGAATGGATCAACAACATGGTAGTTACTCTGCAATACTAACCTAAATGACAAAGTGAAAAGAAGGAAGCCTGTACAGCCTGTACTAAAGTAAAACTGCAAAAATGTGGCAAAAAACTAACTTTATGTCCTGAATACAAAGAGTTATGTTTGGGACAAATCCAACATAACACATCACTGAGTACCACTCTTCATATTTTCGAGAATGGTGGTGGCTGCATCATGTTATGGATACTGTATGCTTATCATTGGCAAGGACAAGGACGTTTTTTAAATAAAAAGAAATGGAATAGAGCAAAGCACAGCCAAAATCCTAGAGGAAAACCTGGTTCAGTCTGCTTCCCAACAAACAATGGGAGACAAATTCAATAACCTAAAACACAAGGCCAAATATACACTGGAGTAGCTTACGAAGACGACATTGAATCTTCCTAAGTGGCCTAGTTACAGTTTTGACTTAGGGTGCGTTTGTAAATTCACTCTGGCTATCTACTCCGATTTCAGAGTACTCTCATCTGTGTGCCAGAGCGCAGAATAACTGATGAATTTATGAACGCTCAACACCCGTTGAATATGGCCGGTGTCAGTAAACGTTGGCAAAAAAGCGTAATTAAATTGTTGCCAGCAGCACAGTTACAGTCACCAACGCTCTGGATAACATGAAAACAGCCTAACCAGCTCTGCTATGGTGAGTAAAATGGTCAGAGTGAAGTGTTCTCTCATTTGTGTCTGGAAGTAGCTAGAAAGCTAGTCAGCTTGGGTGCTTGACTGCCGTTGTGAGGTCAGAACGCTCGGATCAACCCTACTCCTCGGCCAGAGCGTCCAGTGTGCGCTCTGAACGCTCAGAGAGTGAAACACTCTGAATTTACTAACGGACAATCTGACAGCACTCTGAATTTACGAACGCCCAGAGCGCACTCTAGCACTCCAGATTGAATTAACGAACACACCCTTAAATCGGCTTGAAAATCTATGGCAAGACTTGAAAATGGCTGTCTAGCAATGATCAACTACCAACTTGACAGAGCTTGAATAATTTTTAAAAGAATAATGTGAAAATATTGTAAAAGATGTTTCTGTATTTTATTTAAATAAATTAGCAACATTTTCTAAAAATATGTTTTCACTTTGTCATTATTGGGTAATGTGTGAAAAAAATCAATTTAATCCATCTTGAATTCAGGCTGTAACACAACAAAATGTGGAATAAGTCAAGGGGTATGAATACTTTCTGAAGGCACTGTACATTCCGTTCTCAGCATCAACAAAACTCTCTATCCTCTATCTTGTTAAATGTGTTCAGGTGTTGGCCGCACAGACTAATTGGCCACACCCGAGCTTAATGAGTGCTTGTTTCCTTTGAAAATGGGGTCCGTTTGAATAGACTAAAACAAACAGTTTTGTTTTTGTAAAAAAACACTAGCTCCATGCTGGTTGTGCAGTGGACTAATTCCATGCCTAGAGAACAGAAGATTATTGATTTGAATCTAATTGACGCTGTGTCACACTAAAAAAGAAATGTGCTTGAAGTTCATAAAAGTTAACCCAAAATAAGCTAGCAGTGCTATTAAAAGTCTTATTGAAAAATTCAGTGACATTTTAAGGAAGTTATTCAAAAACCTCCAAATTTAATTTCAGTTCTCAGAGGATTAATAAAACCTCCTAAGAAAACTTTCAAGGAACCATAGTAAAATATTCTCAGAACCTCCCTGCAACCTAAAAATAAACGTTCCCAGAACAGGCAAAAAAAAAAGGTTCCGTTTTACTGGTCAGGAAACGTATGGCTTCATTCCCACAAGGAACAAAACGTGCAACCCTAATATTGATACTAGAGCCAAGTACCACAACATGTCTTGTCATTGGTTTTTGACATTTCCTGGGGCTTCCCATATCACAAGCATGTAGTTCAAGAGTTCAATCCACTCTGTTTACTTAACCCATATTATGTTTACTTAACTGCTATACATCATAATTATGTGTGAAATAATGGGGAAGAAGACTTGAAGAATGATTTCTTGGAAGTCGGCCGGCCAGGAAAATTATGTTGTAGTCTCTCCACTAGCTTGACTTACAGTAATACTTCCTGCGTAGCACCCTTCACTTGCCACAGACATGCTCTCCATCTCCTATTAGGTATAACGCTATGAAGGAGGTTATGCGTATTCAAATGGTTCAAATATTTATCCTAATGTCATTCATTGACATTATTGTTGTAAAGCAAGCCTCTACAGTTCTTTTAAAAAGATTATCGTAAATGTAAATATATTTTCAAAGTTTGTATTATATAGACATAAGCTAGGCTACTGATAATTTGCCAGTCTTTCATTTTATACAGTTGAAGTCGGAAGTTTACATACACTTAGGTTGGAGTCATTAAAACTTGTTTTTCAACCACTCCAAAATTTCTTGTTAACAAACTATAGTTTTGGCAAGTCGGTTAGGACATCTACTTTGTGCATGACACAAGTAATTTTTCCAACAACTGTTTACAAACAGATTATTTAACTTATAATTCACTAAATCACAATTCCAGTGGGTCAGAAGTTCACATACACGAAGTTGACTCTGCCTTTAAACAGCTTGTAAAATTCCAGAAAATTATGTCATGGCTTTAGAAGCTTCTGATAGGCTAATTGACATAATTTGAGTCAATTGGAGGTGTACCTGTGGATGTATTTCAAGGCCTACCTTCAAAATCAGTGCCTCTTTGCTTGATACCATGGGAAAATCACAAGAAATCAGCCAAGACCTCAGAAAAATATTGTAGACCTCCACAAGTCTGGCTCATCCTTGGGAGCAATTTCCAAACGCCTGAAGGTACCACGTTCATCTCTACAAACAATAGTACGCAAGTATAAACACCATGGGAACACGCAGCAGTCATACTGCTCAGGAAGGAGACGCATTCTGTCTCCTAGAGATGAACGTACTTTGGTGCGAAAAGTGCAAATCAATCCCAGAACAACAGCAAAGGACCTTGTGAAGATGCTGGAGGAAACAGGTACAAAAGTATCTATATCCACAGTAAAACGAGTCCTATATCGACATAACCTGAAAGGCCGCTCAGCAAGGAAGAAGCCACTGCTCCAAAACCTGCCATAAAATGCCAGACTACGGTTTGCAACTGCACATGGGGACAAAGATCGTACTTTTTGAAGAAATGTCCTCTGGTCTGATTAAACAAAAATATAACTGTTTGGCCATAATCACCATCATTATGTTTGGAGGATAAAGGGGGTCGCTTGCAAGCCGAAGAACACCATCCCAACCGTGAAGCACGGGGGTGGCAGCATCATGCTGTGGGGGTGCTTTGCTGCAGTAGGGACTGGTGAACTTCACAAAATTGATGGCATCATGAGGAAGGAAAATTATGCGGATATATTGAAGCAACATCTCAAGACATCGGTCAGGAAGTTAAAGCTTGTTCGCAAATGGGTCTTCCAAATGGACAATGACCCAAAGCATACTTCCAAAGTTGTGGCAAAATGGCTTAAGGACAACAAAGTAAAGGTATTGGAGTGGCCATCACAAAGCCCTGACCTCAATCCTATAGAAAATATGTGGGCAGAACTGAAAAAGCGTGTGCGAGCAAGGAGGCCTACAAACCTGACTCAGTTACCCCAGCTCTGTCTGGAGGAATGGGCCAAAATTCACCCAATTTATTGTGGGAAGCTTGTGGGAGGCTACCCGAAATGTTTGACCCAAGTTAAACAATTTAAAGACAATGCTACCAAATACTAATTGAGTGTATGTAAACTTCTGACCCACTGGGAATGTGATGAAAGGAATAAAAGCTGAAATAAATCATTCTCTCTACTATTAGTCTGACATTTCACATTCTTAAAATAAAGTGGTGATCCTAACTGACCTAAGACAGGGAATTTTAACTAGGATTAAATGTCAGGAATTGTGAAAAACTGAGTTTAAATGTATTTGGCTAAGGTGTATGTAAACATCCGACTTCAACTGTATATGTGTCATGTAAATTTCCTCAGTGCACTGTAAACTCTTGGCCTTGTTATTTTACATTTTAGTTATTTAGCAGACGCTCTTATACAGAGCGACTTACAGGAGCAATTAGGGTTAAGTGCCTTGCTCAAGGGCACATCAACAGATTTTTCACCTAGTCGGCTCGGGGTTCCACAGGGATGCTGTTCTTAATGTTTTGTACACGCATTGTATAGTCATACTACATGTAGGGCTACGTGTCTTTTGTTTACGGTTGCTCTACAGATCAGATTGTTTCGTCTGAGTGGTATTTACTCTATGTATACCAGTATGGCATGGTGTTCAGTTTAGTACTTAAAATTAACCATTTGCATGCCATTTCATGTTCTTTGTCAGATTGATAATATTGTATTCTGTATAGGTCTCCCTAGAAGAGTTTGCATGCTCTGATACTGACCATTGCACTGTTTGGACTCATAACCTTCCTAACTGTAACCATACCCCTAACCTGATGCCCAACCATAACATGAGTTAAGACCGGACAGTAGATTTTCGTGTTCATACATTTGCACAATAAAGCCAATTTTAAGATGTCACCACCACTTGAAATTGATACAGTGCATTTGGAAAGTGTTCAGACCCCATGACTTTTTCCACATTTAGTTACGTTACAGCCTTATTCTAAAATTGATTTTTAATTCAATCAATTTTAGAATAAGGCTTTTACATTACAAAATGTGGAAAAAGTCAAGGGGTCTGAATACTTTCCGAAGGTAAGTGCTGTATACTCTGTGTATGAGTAGTATGGGAGATGGGCTTCATTATTCCAGTGTGTTTTTGAGCTGACCACCTGACATTTTCATTCTATTTAATATGTGGTAAGACTAGCTTAGCATTGCTACACCAGTTTAGCCCTTATTACCTTTTGATTGTTACTTCTTTCATTACTGATATCAATATCACCTGAGAGATTATGCTGTTGGTGGGAATTACAGCAACTCCATTGAAGAGTATTTTATTGCAATGCAAGCAGATGTTAATATATCACCAGTGAGGCATCTTTCTGACCTTTGGCTCCAAGACATTTCACACAGCTTTGAGGCTCGAGTCGAGCCAAAGAGTAGAAAGGAGCAAGATCCTTAGCAGGTGAGATGTGTGTCTTTCTCAAGGCTTGGACAGGGAGAAAGAGATTTACATTGTTACATGACTAATGAAAGGTTTTGTCTCTAATGAGGTTTGTTGAAACAATCCTTCATGTATGTTTTTATTGCAAATGTTCTATTGACTTATAAGTACAACTATCTACTTTCAGCATTTACCTAGACTGAATTAATTTGCCCAATCTCTACTTTTTTGGCAATGTGCAGGTTTTGTTCTGAAAATGTGAATACCCCAATGCACCTAGTATAATGTGTAGCCTTCCACTGAATTACATATGATGTGTTTTTGAAGCAGATTGAGCTTCTCTCGTAATATCTCTATCCCCCATTAAATTCGTAAATATTTGCAAGCAGCACATCATTATGGAGACAGACCAAGAGGCTTGCAAGGCAGCTGTGAGTTGTCCAGCTCCAAGCCAAGGAGCCGTCAAGACTGGCTGGCTGTCCTCCAACAAGAGAGGTAAGGGACTGTGTCCATTCTAAGTATCATGGGTCCCATCTACCACCGCTGAAATTAATCTAGTTTCTAGTTTCTTCTAGAAAGTAATTTACCAGAGTAAATAGATGTTACGTTTTTTTCTGAAATGTATTTTTCCAGTTAGCATGCATAGTATTATTGAATATTACGTAATACTACTTGAATGCTTTACAAACAAGTAGGGTATTTACAAGAGGCTGATAGATGGCTCTTTAGATTAATAAACGGATAAATTACTGGTCTTTGAGGGTCCCTTTCCGGGACACAGAGTTAAGATTAGTCCTGAACTAAGTGGAGATTCTAAACTGTGTCCGGCAAACTGGCCCTGAATGTTTTAAAATCAACATAGATCTCGTTAGGTGTTTCTGAATACAGAAAAAGTTGTTTAGGCAAACACACATGACTAGGAGAATCTTAGCCAAAATGTAAACCTAAATGTTGCATTTACTACATTGTTTGTTATTCATAAACCTCAAAAATATGTTAAAAATTAACCAATAAGAGCAAAGTTATTTTTATAGAACTGTATAACTTTTGATGAGTTAGACTTTTGTGCTGCCATAAAAAGCAAATTGGATCATTCTCACAAATAAACGCTTAAAAAATGTGTACTAGACAGTTCTATGCAACCAATGTTTTTAAGAATCCTCAAGACTTAGTAGAATATGGTACAATATTTTCAACATTGTAACCAGACCCTCCATTGTCTACTAGTAAGCATCATCAAATGGATGCAGTAACAGGGCTTGCAAGTGTTATATAATTTCATTAAAGCTGTTGTTGCAACCTGGACTCAGGGGTAGACGTAACATAGTAAACAAAAATCTGGGAGATGCGAATTAGTATTATATGTTATGTTTGGTATGGTATGTATTAATTTGTGGATGTCCATCATCCATTTTGTATTTTAAGTTACAAATTACAAATCGTATGATATGTTATGAATTGCAATTTGTACAATATGTTACAAATTTGCAATTCGTACAATATGTTATGAATTCCAATTTGTTGTGGCTAATGTTAGCTAGGTGGCTAGGTGGCTAACGCTAATGTTAGCTAGGTGGCTAACGTTAGGTAGGCTAGGGTTTAGGGGTTAAGGTTAGGTTTAAGTTTAGGGTTAAGGTTATGGTTAGGAGTTAGGTTAAAAGGTTACATTTAGGGAAGGGTTAGCTAAAATGCTATGTAGTTTCAAAGTAGCTAAAAAGTAGTAAGTAGTTGCAAAGTTGCTAATTGGCTAAAATGCTGAAGTTGTCTGTGATGAGATTCGAACACACAACCTTTGGGTTGCAGCAACCCAGTTGCTAGACTTTCGAGTTATACGTCCACCCATCCACCCTGACCAACCACCCTACTTTCATTTTTGCCTTAAGTAACATTCTGCTTATGTAACCATACTAAACGTAACATATCACACTCATTTGAGTGTCCCAGTCTAGTCTATGAGACCAGGCTCGTTAAAAATCCCACCTTTGTCACAAATACACTCTCTCTCACACCCATAAACAGGCAATTGCCATTCCAGGAAGCTTGACAATAAAACATTGACTACTAGGCTACTAGGATAGTCAGGAGCTCTCTGTTGGATGAGCCAAATGCTGCCTCAGCATCAGCATAGACCTCTATAGTACTCACTGTCTGTGGGCGCAATCTGACTGACTCATGTTGTGGTGAGTTAAATTCACTGACCCTGTGGTAAATTCCACTGTCTTCCCTGTTATGCCTCATTTCCTTCCTCATGTTCTCAGGCCCCCCAGTGGCCAAGCCGCCATCTGATGGGACCTCTCGTTTCCAAGGGGACGGGGTTCGCTATAAGGCCAAGCTGATTGGCTTGGACTACGTCCCAGCGGCCCAGGGAGACAAGATGTGTTTGGACTCCATGATGAAACTCAAGGTAGAGCCGCCTGTGGGAAAGAGTCCACTCTAATACTTACTGTACATTGCCATTTCTTGAAAGTAATGTTATCTTACATGTGTCATCAATCACTAGAAATAGGAAGTTGTGTGGTCAGTCAGCGGCAGGGATGATATGAGAAAACTATGTCCTGTTCGTTTCCAAAAATATCTTCTCATGTCATCATTTGGAATGTATCATTCATCATGCGAGTAAGACGAATACAGCAAGCTTGTGATTAGTCAGAAACACAGTTTCAATGTAGAAAAGACTGATTGAAGCTGCATGTGTGTTTTTATTTTATTTTATTAGGATAACCATTAGCTGACGCCAATAGCGACAGCTAGTCTTCCTGGGGTCTGACACATAACGAAAAAGACATCACAGACAAAAACACTTGACAATTTACATACATTTTAAAACATTCACATAGACATTAAAGACTATATATATATATATATATATATATATATATATATATATATATATATATATATATATATATATATAGTACCAGTCAAAAGTTTGGACACACCTACTCATTCAAGGGTTTTTCTTTATTTTTACATTGTAGAATAATAGTGAAGACATCAAAACTATGAAATAACACATATGGAATCATGTAGTAACCAAAAAAGTGTTAAACAAATATATTTTATATTTGACATTCTTCAAATAGGCACCCTTTGCCTTGATGACAGCTTTGCACACTCTTGGCATTCTCTCAACCAGCTTCACCTGGAATGCTTTTCCAACAGTCTTGAAGGAGTTCCCACATATGCTGAGCACTTCTTGGCTGCTTTTCCTTCACTCTGCCATCCGAGTCATCCCAAACCATCTCAATTGGGTTGAGGTCGGGGATTGTGGAGGCCAGGTCATCTGATGCAGCACTCCATCACTCTCCTTCTTGGTCAAATAGCCCTTACACAGCCTGGAGGTGTGTTGTGTCATTGTCCTGTTGAAAAACAAATGATAGTCCCACTAAGACCAAACCAGATGGGATGGCGTATCGCTGAAGAATGCTGTGGTAGCCATGCTGGTTAAGTGTGCCTTGAATTCTAAATAACTCACAGACAGTGTCACCAGCAAAGCACCCCCACACCATAACACCTCCTCCTCCATGCTTTACAGTGGGAACTACACATGCTGAGATAATCAGTTCACCCACACCGCGTCTCACAAATCTCCAATTTGGACTCCAGACCAAAGGACACATTTCCACCGGTCTAATGTCCATTGCTCATGTTTCTTGGCCCAAGCAGGTCACTTCTTATTATTGGTGTCCTTTAGTAGTGGTTTCTTTGCAGCAATTCAACCATGAAGGCCTGATTCACACAGTCTACTCTGAACAGTTGATGTTGAGATGTGTCTGTTACTTGAACTCTGTGAAGCATTTACTTGGGCTGCAATTTCTGAGGCTGGTAACTCTAATAAACTTATCCTCTGCAGCAGAGGTAATCATAGTGCTTGATGGTTTTTGTGACTGCACTTAAAGAAACTTTCAAAGTTCTGGACATTTTCCGTATTGACTGACCTTCATGTATTAAAGTAATGATGGACTGTTGTTTCTCTTTGCTTATTTGAGCTGTTCTTGCCCTAATATGGACTGGGTCTTTTACCAAATAGGGCTATCTTCACAACTGATTGGCTCAAATGCGTTAAGAAGGAAATAAATTCCACAAATTAACTTTTAAGAAGGCACACCTGTTCATTGAAATGCATTCCAGGTGACTACCTCATGAAGATGGTTGAGAGAATGCCAAGAGTGTGCAATCCTGTCATCAAGACAAAGGGTGGCTATTTGAAGAATCTCAAATATAAAATATATTTTGATTTGTTTAACACTTTTTTGGTTACTACATGATTCCATATGTGTTATTTCATATTTTTTATGTCTTCACTATTATTCTACAATGTAAAAAATTTTAAAAATAAAGACAAATAAAGAAAAACCCTTGAATCAGTAGGTGTGTCCAAACTTTGGACTGGTAGTGTATATAAATACAACTATAGGCACACAAATTTACATTCACATTTTTCTAAATTGTGTGTGTGTTTGTGTTTGCGTGTGCGTGTGAACACAGGGCCAGGAGGTGGCAGGCAGGATCCAGGGACGACACAAGCAAAGGGTGTGGCTGAAGGTGTCCATTACTGGTGTGAAAATCTTAGATGAGAGGACTGGGGTAAGTCAGTGCTGCTACTGCAAGACTCCACACACTCTAGGATCTAGGCTGCCATGAGTAGTTTAATGCTTTAATGGTTCAACTCTTAGGTCTTCATCAGATCAGTCCTAATCTTGCAGCATATATTCGTAAATCTGGCATCAGCATCTGAGATTTAGGTCGGACCTAATGAGGCATTGATTGCAGGGCGCGAGGTCTTCATCCAGCCTGCTTTCTGATTTAAATGTGGCCCGTGTTGTAAAACATTATGATTTTCAATTTTTAAATACGACCCCAGACCTCACTCGAACGTCTAAAACCTGATGGAAAGTATGTAGAAATTATAATGGATATATATTTTGAAAATCATTAAAATCCCAATGTGGCCCTCGAGATGTTGCCCTTCCCTGTTCTCTAGGTGCTGACACTCGCACACACTCCCAGTTTTCCCTAAACATTGGCATAGCTGCCTGGGAGGCCCACAGAAGATAGGATGGGAACTATCCCATCTGCTGAGGGCCAGCCAGGCCAGATGTATACTATCCAGGTAAACTGAGAGGATGCAGGGGGACTAAACTAAGGACTTTAATGTCTCTCTTAGGCAAGATAACATGAAGCAGGACATAATCATATCCTATCAGATTGAATTATGAGGAATGGGATTGAGTTCTGGGAAAGTTTTTATTTTTAAAGATGATGGACCTAATCCAGGTACGTTTGGGTATGTAATGCTGTAGGTAATGCTGTGGGCACATTGATATTATAGATAATATTAAGAACCATTTCAGAGAAATTGCTTCTTTTTCAATTGTATTATTTATTATATATAATGAAAAATGACCATGAGAGAAACTAGTCTTCTGCTATTTTGAGGTATATCAATAATAATGTTTGAAAATTACAGATATCCCAAATTCCTGACCTTCAAATGGCTACCTTGTCCTTTTCTCTTGAATTGACTAGTACACTCTTGGGATGACAGAAGGCCATTTTAGCACACTAGCCTTTGCCTTCTTTACACTGCTATAACCTGTCACAATCGTCATACATAGAGGAGGACCAAGGCGCAGCGTTGAAGGCGAACATATTTATTTAATAAATGATCACACGATCAAAACAACAAAACGATGACGTGACAGTCAATGGTAATACACAAACCAAATACGAACAAGAAACCACAATGAATGAGTACCAAACGGCTACCTAAGTATGACTCCCAATCAGAGACAACGAGCTACAGCCGTCTCTGATTGGGAGCCACCCTGGCCAACATAGATCTACAAAACCAGAAAGTGAAACCTAGAACACACATAGACTATACACACCCTGGCTCAACATATTAGAGTCCCCAGAGCCAGGGCGTGACAGTACCCCCCCCTAAAGGCGCGGACTCCGACCGCGCCCACCAAACACCACAGGGGAGGGACCGGGTGGGCACTCCGCTTAGGCGGCGGATCCGGCTCCGGGCCTTATTCCCCGCTCCCTCTCCAACCCCCCAAAGTACCCCTGGTCCGGTCTGGCCCCGCTGGCCGGAGCTGGACTGCACACTGGTGGAGCGGATTGCTCTAGCTCCGGCGTGAAGCATCTGACCGGTGCCGGACCAGCCACCGGTGGAACAGGCACGGGCCGTGCCGGACTGACGACGCACACCACTGGCTTGGTGCGGGGAGCAGGAGCGGGCCGAGCCGGGCTGTCGAAGCACACCACTGACTTGGTGCGGGGAGCAGGAACGGGCCGAGCCGGGCTGACGAAGCGCACCACTGACTTGGTGCGGGGAGCAGGAACGGGCCGAGCCGGGCTGACGAAGCGCACCACTGACTTGGGGCGGGGAGCAGGAACGGGCCGAGCCAGGCTGACGAAGCGCACCACTGACTTGGGGCGGGGAGCAGGAACGGGCCGAGCCGGGCTGACGAAGCGCACCACTGACTTGGTGCGGGGAGCAGGAACGGGCCGAGCCGGGCTGACGAAGCGCACCACTGACTTGGTGCGGGGAGCAGGAACAGGCCGGACCGTACTGGGGACACACACCACTGGTCCTACGCAGGGATCTGGAATGGGCCGGACCGGACTGGTAACACACCCCAGTACCTCTCGCCGTGCCTCTACACCTTCCACCCCCTCTTCGACCAGTGGCCCCCGTAACCTGGCGGCCTCCTCTGCCAATCTGCTGGGCCGCTCTGCCGCGGTCTCCTGCTGGCCCGTCGTCCACGGCGTTAGCCCCCCCCTAAAAATGTCCTGGGCGTCTCTCCTACCCGTGGACCAGGTCTCCATGTCCCTCGCCAGCCTTTCGCCCTTCTGCCACAATGTCAAGCCCTTCTCTTCCTCACTCGGCTTGACCCAGTCGAGGAGGCTAAGGAGATCTGCTAGAGATCTCCCTGGCGATGGCTCCTGGACACGCTGCTTGTTCAAATCTTGGTGGTTTCTTCTGTCACGATCGTCATACATAGAGGAGGACCAAGGCGCAGCGTTGAAGGCAAACATATTTATTTAATAAATGATCACACGATCAAAACAACAAAACGATGACGTGACAGTCAATGGTAATACACAAACCAAATACGAACAAGAAACCACAATGAATGAGTGCCAAACGGCTACCTAAGTATGACTCCCAATCAGAGACAACGAGTACAGCCGTCTCTGATTGGGAGCCACCCTGGCCAACATAGATCTACAAAACCAGAAAGTGAAACCTAGAACACACATAGACTATACACACCCTGGCTCAACATATTAGAGTCCCCAGAGCCAGGGCGTGACATAACCACTTTCACCAAGAGATGCTCTCTAGTTGCAGACCACATGATGTTTATATCGCTGACTGTCTGGTTGCTATATCCATTCCACCGTCATCCTGTTGTGTTCACGATATAGGTTGTGGAGTATAACCACGAGAGAGGGAAGATAAACTCCCTGACAAAGGATGAGTCCGACCCTAGAGCCCTCTCCTACATCTACGATCACGAAGGCACCTACACCCTGTTCTACATCAAGATGGCTAATTTGGTAAGGGGTTTTGATCTGATCAAAAGATCCAGACATTATTCATAATCACAGCAAATACATGTCTTGTTAGTAATTATATAAATTATGACTATGTATTTGGGACAATACACCATAATTCTGTCCGGAATTCAATCATTTGCGGGATTTTTAGAAGTGTGTTTAATTTGTACAGCAGTGCAATGATTGAATTGTTAGCTAAAATCCAACAGTATATCAAATCAAAAGTGTAACTGACGTTTGGATGCTTATGGAACAGGCTGACCCTGTCCTTGATGATATCAAAGAAGTCTGCCAAAGCCCAGTAACACAAGAGGACCAAGTCATAAAAGTCAATAAACCAGTAGAGGTGAGGATAAAGTACACTTACTGTTGTCCAAAGGTTTGTATAGGCAATTCTTCTGCTAACTATTTTAGGGATGTCCTGGTATACATACATACAGTTGAAGTCGGAAGTATACATACACCTTAGCCAAACACATTTAAACTCAGTTTTTCACAATTCCTGACATTTAATCCTAGTAAAAATTCCCTGTCTTATGTCAGTTAGTATCACCACTTTATTTTAAGAATGTGAAATGTCAGAATAATAGTAGAGATAATTATTTATTTCAGCTCTTATTTCTTTCATCACATTCCCAGTGGGTCAGAAGTTTACATACACTCAATTAGTATTTGGTAGCATTGCCTTTAAATTGTTTAACTTGGGTCAAACTTTTCGGGTAGCCTTCCACAAGCTTCCCACAATAAGTTGGGTGAATTTTGGCCCATTCCTCTTGACAGAGCTGGTGTAACTGAGTCAGGTTTGTAGGCCTCCTTGCTCGCACACGCTTTTTCAGTTCTGCCCACAAATGTTCTATAGGATTGAGGTCAGGGCTTTGTGATGGCCACTCCAATACCTTGACTTTGTTGTCCTAAAGCCATTTTGTCACAACTTTGGAAGTATGTTTGGGGTCATTGTCCATTTGGAAGACCCATTTGCAACCAAGCTTTAACTTCCTGACTGATGTCTTGAGATGTTGCTTCAATATATCCACATAATTTTCCTTCCTCATGATGCCATCTATTTTGTGAAGTGCACCAGTCCCTCCTGTAGCAAAGCACCCCCACAGCATGATGCTGCCACCCCCGTGCTTCACGGTTGGGATGGTGTTCTTCGGCTTGCAAGCAACCCCCTTTTTCCTCCAAACATAACAATGGTTATTATGGCCAAACAGTTCTATTTTTGTTTCATCAGACCGGAGGACATTTCTCCAAAAAGTACGATCTTTGTCCCCATGTGCAGTTGCAAACCGTAGTCTGGCTTTTTTATGGCAGTTTTGGAGCAGTGGCTTCTTCCTTGCTGAGCGGCCTTTCAGGTTATGTCGATATAGGACTCGTTTTACTGTGGATAAAGATACTTTTGTACCTGTTTCCTCCAGCATCTTCACAAGGTCCTTTGCTGTTGTTCTGGGATTTAGTTGCACTTTTCGCACCAAACTACGTTCATCTCTATGAGACAGAACACATCTCCTTCCTGAGCGGTATGACGGCATCGTGGTCCCATGGTGTTTATACTTGCGTACTATTGTTTGTACAGATGAACGTGGTACCTTCAGGCGTTTGGAAATTGCTCCCAAGGATGAACCAGACTTGTGGAGATCTACAATTTATTTTCTGAGGTCTTGGCTGATTTCTTTTGATTTTCCCATGATGTCAAGCAAAGAGGCACTGATTTTGAAGGCAGGCCTTGAAATACATCCACAGGTACACCTCCAATTGACTCAAATGATGTCAGTTAGCCTATCAGAAGCTTCAAAGCCATGACATCATTTTCTCGAATTTTCCAAGCTGTTTAAAGGCACCGTCAACTTAGTGTATGTAAACTTCTGACCCACTGGAATTGTGATACAGTGAACTATAAGTGAAATAATCTGTCTGTAAACAATTGTTGGAAAAATTACTTGTGTCATGCACAAAGTAGATGTCCTAACCGACTTGTTAACAACTATAGGTTGTTAACAAGAAATTTGTGTAGGGGTTGAAAAACGAGTTTTAATGACTCCAACCTAAGTGTATGTAAACTTGCGACTTCAACTGTATGTAGTCTCTATAATGGCCAGGGTGCCTTTTGATAACAATCCCTTGCTTCTCAATTATTATTTGTCTCTAGAATGCTGCCGCCTTACTGCTTCTTGATGAGATTATAGCTTCTCCAAAGGTAAGGAGAGCGAGTAACTACAGGAGGCCTCTTCCTAATATGGAACAAACCAATGTTGTAGTTTTTGCATGGTAAAACCAAGTTAGATCGATTGAGAAAGAATATTCTTGCATACTCAAATATTCTAGCTACTGTACATCATCTCAACTGCCAACATGAGATATAAAATGAGATCGTCTTTGGACATAATGTTAACTTCTCATTTGAAGGGCCTGGATGATATGGAAATGTTCAATTCCATGCCTAGCTCTCCGTCAGGGCAACCAAAGCAGGTAATGGACACATTTGATGGTCTCTCATCAACTTTAACAATGTATATGCTTTTATATGGTAGGCCTAGGCAAACCCACCAGTCATTGACTTTCAGCAGGTGGCAGACTTGTTCTTTGTGAACTTTACATTGAGCAGCGATGACATAATCCTGTCTACTTGTTGTGGTTTGTTCCCACAGATCTCATCCAGGGACGAGCTGATGGACATCTTCTCTTTCACCAGTCAAAACTCTGACATGAATCAACCAGGTGAGTTATTACCCAGCAAACATATCGTGGTTCCCTATTCTTTCTCAGAATGTTAACGCTTTAAAAAGATACAAGTGGTAAGCTAAAAAAGGTTTCCAAATATGTTCCCATTACATCACTAATATGTCACCTTTGACATATAGAAAATGCAATGAAGGGGCAAATCTGACAAATATCCTATTTTTTAAAATAACTTTCATGGGATATTCTAATGGTAACATTTGCTGCCTGAGGGCCATGTTGGGACTAACCTGGTCTCAGAACATTTCGTATTATTCTGTTCGTAAATCCGAGATATACATTTAGTATAATATGTTATGTTTCGTATGGTATGTATTAATTTGTTAATGTCCATCAACAATTTCATATGATATGTTAAGAACAAGCAAAACGTACAATATGTTACAAATTAGAAAAACTTACTATATGTGACCCATTTGCAAAACATATGATATGTTACGAATTCTAACTAGGTGCTAGGTTGCCAATTTAGCTAGCTGGCTAACGTTAGCTAGGCTAAGGGTTAGGGTTAGGGGAAGGGTTAGCTAAAAGGGTTAAGGTTAGGGTTAGGGGAAGGGTTAGCTAAAAGGATTAGGGTTAGGGTAGCTAACATGCTAAGCAGTGGTGGAAAAAGTACCCAATTGTCATACTTGAGTAAAAGTAAAGATACCTTAATAGAAAATGACTCAAGTAAAAGTGAAAGTCACCCAGTAAAATAGTACTTGAGTAAAAGTCTAAAAGTATTTGGTTTTAAATATACTTAAGTATCAAAAGTAAATGTCATTGCTAAAATATACTTAAGTATCAAAAGTAAAAGTATAAATAATTTAAAATTCCTTATATTAAGCAAACCAGACAGCACTATTTTCTTGTTTTTTAAATTAATGGATAGCCAGGGGCACACTCCAACACTCAGACATAATTTACAAATGAAGCATGTGTGTTTAGTGAGTCCGCCAAATCAGAGGCAGTAGGGATGACCAGATGTTCTATTGATAAGTGCGTGAATTTGACCATTTTCCTGTCCTGCTAAGCATTCAAAATGTAACGAATACTTTTGGGTGTCAGGGAAAATGTATGGAGTAAAAAGTATATCATTTTCTTTAGGAATGTAGTGAAGTAAAAGTAAAAGTAGTCAAAAATATAAATAGTAAAGTACAGATACCAAAAAAAAACACTTAAGTAGTACTTTAAAGTATTTTTATTTAAGTACTTTACATCGCTGATGCTAAGTAGTTGCAAAGTAGCTAAAAAGTAGTAAGTAGTTGAAAAGTTGCTAATTAGCTAAAATGCTAAAGTTGTCCGTGATGAGATTCGAACTCACAACCTTTGAGTTACTAGATGTTCGCCCACCCATCCACTCCGACCAACCATCCTACTTTCGTTTTTGTCTTATGTAACCATCTGTCTTCTGTAATAATACCAAACGTAACATATAATACTAATTTTAGTGTCCCGGATTTACATTTACTATTTTATGTCTATTCTATGAGACCAGGCTGTGGGACTACACTGCAACATTACCTATATTCAAGGAATGTTGACTGTTTGCTGGGTAGTAACATTGGAATAATAAAAGTCTTATATCATTGGCATTGTAACATGGCCTCATTTCAACCCTTGACTCATTAAGAATTGAGGAAGAATTTGAGACATAAATATCCATCCAGACCACCGCCATTAAACAACCTGCTTCTCTGACATACATGTTTTAAGCTTTGTCCACATTGTAAGCGGACAATAATTCCATTCTTGTTCATATGCCCAGCGCAATAATAGACTCCAATCCTATTTTTTTAACCGGAAAATGTAGTGTGGACATAGCTAGCATCACAAGGAGAATGCTTTGCCACTTTTAATATACCTTCTGATTTCTTCAAGGATCTCCACAGTCTCTGTCAGTTCCTCAGATAGTTCCCACCTTCCCTGGTCAGCCGGTCGCTGTTGCACCATTCATCTCACCTGTTTCAATACCTTGGGGCCAGCAAGGGCCCCTCCCAACTCTCTCGCCCAGTTCAAATAGAACCTGGGGGGCTCCGGCCCCCTGGCTTTCCAAGCCCAGCATGACCGGATGGGTTCCGGGGCCGGGTGGCATGATGCCCTATGGAGGCCCCCAGCTGCAGGGGTATGGAGTGAACCCACAGCCAGGGGTTATGTGGGGTCAGAACACAATGAGCTTTCCCACCTCTGCCCCAAACTACACGCCCTACAGGGCAGAGGGACTTCAGCAGCAGCCCGGCTCTCCCACCACCAACAACAAACCAGCCCAGGGATGAACTGGCTTAGAGAGGCACTGAAATGTCCCTGTTGTCTTCATGTCTGTATGCTTAGCATTGTCAGGGCCGGATTACAGAACGGGCATGCAGGGCACGACCTTGGGGGGGGGGGGGGGGGGGGGGGGGGGGGGGGGGATTGGGGGGATAGCATATAATAGCAAAATGTGTAGAATTGCAGGAAATCAGCTTTAAAAAGGTTAAATTCTCTCTCAGCCTCAGGGCAAAATGTGTACAATTGCAGAAAATGTGCTTTAAACTGCAACATTTTCTCTCAGCCTCATGGCAAAATGTGAACCATATCATGAGATGAGCTATAAAACAGCACATTCTTCTCTCTGACCCATGGCAAAACGTGTAGAATTGCAGGAAATTAGCTTTAAAACTGCAAGATTTTCTCATAGCCTCATAACACAATGTGTATTTTTTTAAGGACATTAGCTGTTTTCCTATACAAAATCTGGAAGCCCCAAATGCAGGGCCCCCAAATTCAGTAATCTGGCCCTGTGCATTGTCTTTCCAGTACTTAGTAGTGGCTTTTCCATATAGTGGGTATGTATGAATCTGTTTAGTAGGGTGCAGTTCTACATTCCTTTTTGATAATGTACATTTGGGAATTTGAGCTCAACAGCAATTATATCTGTAGATTGTTCAGTAGTCTTAATTTTTTTTTGTTGACAGAATCATTTAGATGAAGAAGTAAGACGAAAATGAAATTCAAATGCTGTAGTTTTGGAGGGATCTCACAGAGCTGAACTTGCTTAAAATTCTGAGAATTCACATGAAAGACAAATTTGATATTCTTTTGAACTTTATTTTCTTCATCTATGTAAAGATAAAGTGGTTATGTTTATGTTCCAGAAAGTGAATTCCATGCATGCTGTGGATCTCATAATGATGGGACGTGTGCTCATAAATCATGTTTGTGTAGATATTTAAATCAAGTAATGAAGGTCGAAGAAATGTATGAGGAGCATAACACGTCAACCTTGTTACCCATAGATTAACCTAACATAGCAGGCATAAAATAAACGCATGAGCGGCGTTTCTTTCTTTCTGGTCCTGATGAGAAGAAAATTACTGTCTGGGGAGGTTCTCTTCTGCACTGTTGAACCAATTCAGTAAATGTGTAGGAGGAGTTAAGATGGAGGGTCGCCAAAAGGTTGTTTATAATATTGACAAGATACCAAGTGACCGCTCTAACAATGCAAACAGAATGAAAATGTATGCACTCACTAACTGTAAGTTGCTCTGGATAAGAGCGTCTGCTAAATGACTAAAATGTAAATATAAATGTATCTCAGCTCCATTTTGGATTAAATGGGTATTAGGCCGACTGATAAAGTAAAACAAATAAAACTAAATAAAAAAATCGTTTTTCAAGAGGAACAGAAATGTTGTAATGGTAATCAAATCAAAAGACAGTCAATTGTGTCATATGGATTTCATGATAAAATGCATATCTTACGGTAATTTAGCCTACAGATGAATCTTCTTATGATCTAAATGAACTCTTCCAGTAGCCTTTTTGTCACCCCCACCTATTTCCTGATTTAGCATTGGGGATATCCATTGAGTAACAGACAGAACAATGTAGCGCAGCATCCTTGAATGGCACACTAAATACCAGTTCAACACGGGCAAAGATGGTAAGATAGCACTTAAATATTGATTAAAATATATAGTAAAACAGACAAAAGAGTAATACTATTGGACAGCCTATACATAGGCTATAACATAGGGATATAAGTTTGCTGTAGCGCATTAATAGCTGCGTGTCCACAGGCAGACCCAATTCTGATCTTTTGCCCAATTATTGGCCATTGGTCAAAAGACCAATTATTAGAAAAATATAGAAATTGGGCTGCCTGTTTAAACGCAGCCTTTGTAGGGCATATTCTCTCTTTCTCTGTAACCCGTCACGGTTTCATGTTTATTCTAATTATTGCACTTCTACAAATACATTCCTGAGATGGGGTTTCGATGTCATGGTATCCATAAACCACGTTAAACCTGAAAAAATATTTACATAACATCTATCTCTGGATGGCAGTGGTCGCCAATTGGTCGGTCGCGATCGACTGGCCGATCTCCAAGGCATTTCTAGTCAATCACCTAAAAAACCCAACGATAAAGCCTTTTTTTTATTCGTTTCGCGCTGTTGACGGTAAGTGTACTTGATTCAGCAGCCCTTGCTCCTGTGAAGGCAGTGTTCCCATTTTGATCCATTTCATGTGTCTGAAGGTAGAACGCTGCCTACCCGCAGGCCAATCAGATAGCTCAGATCACCGTGTCTGCACAATTTCCTCGAGCCATAGACTGTAAAAAGAAGCCTCGATACCACAGCATAGCTGATACTGTGAGATTTCAAAACGTGTAAAACCATGACTAGAGAGAGACTCAACAAATACAACAAAGAGCTGCATATTTTATGAGTAAGTTCATGTTTAAGTTGTTATTCAGCACTGTCAACTTTGTTCAACACTTTTATAAGCCATAAAATGCACTGCAGCTGCAATGAAGGACTACAGCAAAGTGAGTCGGGTGAGAGGCAGCCTCACCGCTGCTCCCCTCAGACTGACCATCAGATGCAGGCCATCAGTCCATGAAAAAAGCCAATTATTATGCTCCCTCAGCTGTGCTTCACAAATACAAGGTCGAATCATGACGTCAGTGATCTTCAGGTCGGAGCTCTAGAAAGAGGTCAGAGTTCCTGACTTGGAATTCCGAATTGGATAACCGTTCAAAACATATTTTCCCAGTTGGAGCTCGTTTCTTTTCAGAGTTCCCAGTTGTCTTGAACTCACTGAAGTCTGAGATTTTCCAGTTCCGAGTTTCCAGTTGTTTTGAACGCGGCAGAAGTCATGCTGTATTGACAGCATGGCCAATGTATTCAAACTTTTCTGGCCCATGGTGTTGATCGTTTATCTTTTTAAGCTTGGAAAAGAGACCCTTAAACCCAGACTTGGACCACACAGCCAATATACTGAATAGCAGACTAGTGATTGCTTTGTAATGCTTGGAGTTAGCAACTGATTCCTTCAAAACCACTCATTGTTGAATTTGCGATTTCCAACTTGTTGTGTAATGGTTATGTCCAATGACCGATGAGCACCGATACGTTTTATCTATAATTTCTCTTCATATGACAAGGATTGAAAAGGATTTGCCAGTAGATTGTCGACTTGATTCATGATGATGACTGCTTGTCTAGCTTGCTAGCTAAGATTTTGAAAGTATGATGTTGACATGATCAGTCCAATCAAAGCTACGGTAGATATAACGTGATTTAATGTCATTTTATCTGTGGCCAATGACTTTGTGCCTTCTTGGATGGGCACTTCTAAGGTAACTCTATGGCAGCACCCAAGGGTCTTGAATTTCCAACTCTCCCCAAAAGATTTCTGTCACTCATTGTCCCCATGATTGACAGAACACTGAGCCAATCACGGCGCAACTAGAGAATATTAACAACCCCTACGCGCCTTATTTTCCGCTGGCTGCCCCACCACCACAGAAAGCACTGAGCTAGGCTGAAACACCTGCATTTTGGAGCTGCCTTACTCAAGAAAGCAAAAAGAGACCATGTTTGTATTGAGGCTTTATTAACTCAATGTTGTTGTTTTTTACATTGTTTGCAAACTGATATATGACACGTATTAATGCCAAAAATAACATGCAAAAAAGGCAACATTATTTTCTTTTTAATGTAATTTCTATATTTTTGGAGCTAAACAGGTGGGGCTCAAAACAGGCGGGGCATTGCCCCACCTACCCTGAATGATGGGTCGCCACTGTGTATTGGGCATATAGCCTACTGCACAAACCTCATTACTACAGAATTGTTTTTAATTGGTTAATGTTGCATGTTTCATGAATCTGATGGCGCCCGGAGGGGATGGCTGCCATTTTATGGACTCTTAACCAACCGTGCTATTTTGTGTGTTTTTTCGCATTGTTTGTAACTTATTTTGTACATAATGTTGCTGCTACCGTCTCTTATGACCGAAAAGAGCTTCTGGACATCAGAACAGTGATTACTCACCTTGAACTGGCCGAATAATGTTTCTTTAATGAGTCGGACAAGAGGGATTTCCTCCAGACACCGGACAGGGCCCTCATCCCCGTCATTCGCAGTAGAAGAAAAGGAGATGTTGCGGAAGAGGATCTGGGTGCTTGGTAAGGAGCCAACGAGCCGGCGACGAGTGGCTAATCTGCCTTTGCCATCGATACTATTGGCCAACTTACAATCGCTTGATAATAAAGTGGACGAACCACAGGCACGAATATCCTACCAACGGGACATGAAAAACTGTAATATCTTATGTTTCACCGAGTCGTGGCTAAACGAAGACATGAATAACATACAACTGGAGGGTTATACACTGTATCGGCAGGATAGAACAGCAGCCTCTGGTAAGACAAGGTGTGGCGGTCTATGTATATTTGTAAACAACAGCTGATGCACAATATCTAAGGAAGTCTCAAGGTTTTGCTCGCCTGAGGTAGAGTATCTCATGATAAGCAGTAGACCTCACTATCTACCAAGAGAGTTTTCATCTATATTCTTCGTAGCTGTCTATTTACCACCACAAACCGATGCTGGCACTAAGACCACACTCAATGAACTGTATACGGCCATAAGCAAACAGGAAAACGCTCATCCAGAGGTGGCGCTCCTAGTGGCCGGGGACTTTAATGCAGGGAAACTTAATTCAGTTTTACCTCATTTCTACAAGCCTGTGAAATTTGCAACCAGAGGGGAAAAAACTCTAGACCACCTTTACTCCACAAACAGAGACTCGTACAAAGCTCTCCCTCGCCCTCCATTTGGCAAATCTGACCATAATTATATCCTCCTGATTCCTGCTTACAGGCAGGAAGCACCAGTGACTTGGTCAATAAAAAAGTGGTCATATGAAGCAGATGCTAAGCTACAGGACTGTTTTGCTAGCACAGACTGGAACATGTTCCGGGATTCTTCAGACAGCATTGAGGAGTACACCACATCAGTCACTGGCTTCATCAATAAGTGCATCGATGACGTCGTCCCCACAGTGACTGTACGTACATACCCCAACCAGAAGCCATTGATTGCAGGCAACATC